TTATTCCATAATTTATGAGTTGCATATTTACTTTTGGGACTACGAGGCGGTACCTCGAGATATCCCCATGTTGCATATTTACTTTTGGGACTCCGAGGCGGTACCTCGGGAGATCCCTTGTTGCATATTTACTTTTGTGACTACGAGGCAGTACCTCGGGAGATCCCCTATTGTGTATTTATATTTGGTACTACGAGGCGGTACGTCGGGAGCGCCCATGTTGTTTACCTCTATTTACTGTGCTGTTACCTTTCTGTAATTTCTTGTTGTTCATTTCTCAGTCATTTCATTTTATTATTATATTTTCTGCCTCATTTCCTTTTATTCCAGTAGGGCCCTGACCTGACCTCATCACTACTCTACCGAGGTTAGGCTTGGCACTTACTGGGTATTGCTGTGGTGTACTCATACTATATTTCTGCACATCTTTTTATGCAGATCCAAGTTCTTCCTATCAAACCAGATACTAGTGAGTTGGACTATATGTGGAGACTTCAAGGTATATCTGCCAGCGTCCGCAGACCTCGGAGTCCCCCTCTATCCGTATTATGTTGTTTCCCTTACCCTCTTTAGACTCTGATGTATGGAGACACTTAGCATTTTTCTCTTAGAAGCTTGCGACTTATTTATACCGGGTTTTGGGTGTTATAATTATTTGAATCGCAACTTTTATTTATATTTCATGTGTGGAGATTTGAGTTCAGTTTCATATTAAGTTATTCCGCAAATTGTTAGGCTTACCTAGTCTTAGAGACTAGGTGCCATCACGATATCCTACGGAGAAAATTTGAGGTCGTGACAAGTAATTGTATTTTTTTCTCCTTTAATGAAAAACTCTAAAGATGTGACTACGATTAATGACGTTTTGGTTTTTAAAATTCTGAATGTTTGTTTTGAGCCAAGGGCGTTCGGTAGGCCAAGATTTTATTTGACTAAAGATAGAAGATACGTGTCACGATCAGAAATTCTCACCTTCGGGACCGTGATGACACCTAACATTTTACTTGCTAGGCAAGCCAACGTTAGAAAAATCTTAACCATTTTTAAACAAATCAATTTAAGCGGAAGTTAATTACTGAAATAAAGTGCGGAAGACCACAATAACTGAATCATCAAAATACATCCCCATATCTGGTGTCACAAGTGCACGAGCTACTAGGATAATACAAATAAAGGTCTGAATAAAATTCAAATTATTTGAAAGATAATACACAGCTAAGATAAAATAGAAGGGGACTCCAGAACTGCGGACGCTGTGCAGTTATACCTCAAGTCTCCTTTGGGTAGCTGAATCCTAGCAAGTCTATGGTACTCCGCTGGGACTAACTCCAAAATCTGTACAAGAAGTGCAGAGTGTAGTATGAGTACAACCAACCCCATGTACTCCGTAAGAGTCGATCCTAACCTCGACGAAGTAGTGACGAGGCTATGACAAGACACGTACGTAAACAACATGTACAAGCATATACAAACACGAAGCAACAATAACACAATAATTAACAATTATAAATTTGGGAAGGAACATGCGAAGGGGAACGATATAGAAATTTCAGCAGGAGAAGTGTCACGTAGCAGCCAATTAATTCATTAACAATAAAATAAGCAGTTGATAATATGAAAATGGAACGACACCACCCTTCGTGCCTTTACTCTCATTCTTCCCACAACTTTATAAATAAATAATAAGATTGGCACGGCATCACCCTTCGTGCTTTAACTCTCTTCTGGCACGGTATCACCCTTCGTGCTTTTACACTCTTTGAAAATGACACGACATCACCCTTCGTGCTTTAACTCTCTTCTGGCACGACATCATCCTTCGTGCTTTTACACTTTTTGAAAATGACACGGCATCACCCTTCGTGCTTTAACTCTCTTCCTCACTTCATAATTCAATAAATAATAATGTGAAATTGGCACGGCATCACCCTTCGTACTTTTATATTTTTTTCTTACCATGAAAATAATAATATAAATTCGGAAGAATGTTAAAATGCAGGTGAATACCAGAATACCGACATCACTTTCCAAAATATTCAACAATAATTTCATGAAAAATGATCAAATAAACAATAATAATTTAAGCAGGAATATCTTAATTAAATAGGCAATTATTCACAATAAATAAATTTCACCCGCATACTTTGACTCAAACACAATGCATAAGTACTCGTCACCTCACATATACGTTGTACCCGCACATTTAAATCACGTAGCAAATAGACAAATAAGTCTTACTCCTTTAAGTCAAGGTTAACTACGACACTTACCTCGATTTGCAACCAACTCAAGATTCCAATAAACTTTTGCCTCGCGAATTTGTGTCTTAAAGTTTCAAATCTAGTCACAAACAATTCAATATACTCAACACGAATCGTAGGAATTAATTCCATATAAATTTATAATTTTTCCGGATTAAAATTTAAAATTAATTTTTAAAATCGACAGTGGGACCCACATCTCAAATCTAGGAAAAACATACGAAATCCGAATACCCGTTCCGATACGAGTTCAACCATATAAAAATTATCGAATTCCGACATCGGATTGGCTTTCAAATCTTCATTTTATATTTTTAGAAGATTTTATAAAAATACCAATTTCTTCCATCTAAAACCGAAATAAACGATGAATATTGACATGAATTTATGAAATGTAATCACTTTCGGATATAGAATACTTACCCAAGTCAAAATCGTGAAAAATCTCTTTGGAATCGCCTAAATCCGAGACTCAAAACACAAAAATGAGAAAATGGTTAACTCCCGTTTTTAAGCACTCTGTCCAGCATTTTTCGCATTTGCGGACTTATTTTCACAACTGCAGACTCGCATTTGCAAGACAAAGCTCGCATTTGCGGAACAGGACAGCCTGTCCAGTGGCCGCATCTGCGCCCAGAAATGTTGCACCTGCGACATCGCAGAAGCGTTCCAGGGACCGCAGAAGCGGTCTGCCTCGCAGAAGCGGCTCGCCCATCGCGGAAGCGGTTGCGCACCTGCGCAAATTTCTCCACAGAATCGGAGCTCGGCAGGGCTGTCCAATGTCGCAGAAGCAACTGGAATTCCACAGGAGCGACCACGCACCTGCGCACAAAATGTCGCAGGTACAACGCACCAGAACCAGCACTAAGCAGCAGGTTCCAATTGCTTCGTGGATCGCCCGAAACTCATCCTAGCCACTCGGGACCTCGTCCGAATATTCCAATAAGTCCAAAAGCATAATACAGACTTACTCGGGTTTTCAAATCACATCAAATAATATCTAAATTACAATTCACACCTCGATTCACACTTATGAATTTCAAACTTTTCAATTTACAAAACTTGTGCCGAAACATGTTAAATAAATCCGGAATGACTTCAAATTTGGCATACAAGTCATAAATGACATAACAGAGCTATGCTAATTTTCGGAATCTCAATCCCAGTCCGATATCAATAAAGTCAACTTTGCGGTCAAACTTTGAAAATCTTTAGCCTTCAAACTTCCAATATTTCAACAAATGGCGATAGCTCAAGCTAGGGACCTCCAAATTAAATTTCGGGCATACGCCCAAGTCCCAAATCACGATACGGACCTACCGGAACTGTCAAAATACTGATCCGGATTTGTTTGCTAAAAATATTGACCGAAATCAACTCAATTGTGTTTTAAAGCTCTAATTCACATTTTAATCAATTTTTCATATAAAAACTTTTCAAAAAATTATACGGAGTGCGCACGCAAGTCGAGAAATGATAACTAGCGCTTTTCGAGGTCTTAGAATACAGAAATGGATGTTTAAATTAAAGATGACATTTTGGGTCATCACAATACGTGAGACAATTAGTGAGATAATTTAGTCTCTTGAAAGGTGGATTTGTTTAATGGCATATAATGAAATTAAAAATTTAAAAATGAAATAAACTTTTATAAAATAGGTATACAGGGTAAAATAAATTATTTTAAAAGTATATGGAGTTAACTGGTATTTCCAGCGGGTATACCGCGTAGATTTCTCTATTTGGAAATTGAAATTATGTTTGGATATACATTTCACTTGAAAAAAATGTTGAAGCTTTGTGAGTAGGAAAAAATTATGAAAATCTTGAAAAAGTGATTTTCTGAAATACTCATTTTTGAAAAATTTTCAAAAACATGCAACATTTCATGGACAAATATACTTTTGAAAAAAAAATTGTAAAAAAAAAAAAACATTTATGAACAACGGGGCCTTAATATTTTGCACATATGTATGGGCTAAAGAATCTCAGAGTTGAGTAGGTTTCCTATTAAAAAGAAAAATAGGACTCAATTGTTTTTTACGAACCCGAAGTTCCCTATTCTTGACCACATTTTATTGATAAATGCTCGAGTACAACTCCAATTATTTCTCGAGAATATATGGAAACATACTCAATACATTTTATTGGATAGTTGACCCAACTCATAGTTATTTAAACTAACCTTGCACTCAATTGGTAATTTTTTATTTATAAAAAAAACAGTTTATTGAATTTCGTTTCAAATATAAAATTTCGCTCAATGACATATTTATTAATTATATTTAACTTTAATTGTTGATATAATATTCATATCATCAATGAAGAAAAAAAATCAATATCGACACTTCGAGGACATCCAACGAAATCAACATGTACCTCAATTTTATTCTTCTATAAAATATAACTTCGAATTTTACATCTTTTAGCTTGGAACTTAATTGGTCACTGCTACAACCAGATATCCAAAAACGTTCCGATAAATTTCTCATAGAAAAGAAAAAGAAAGAAGAAGGTAAAACTGTTTTTCTTTTTCTTTTACTTAATTGGAGTAAATATTTTTTGAGGTGCAGTTGACCCCCCTGTAAATAATGGAGTAAAAAATATTACCAAATCATAACAAATTACTACGACTCCTAGAGTCCTAAGACCTACTATATTGGAATTCTAGCCGTTGCCAAAACAAATGTGTCAGTAATTTTTTCCTTAATTAATTATAATTATGTTTGGTGTACCACAGACTAACGTAAAAACAAAAACATCTCCATTATTCTTCCAAAATCAAGATTTCAAGAATTGCATGGACCACCACCACCCCCCTCTATCTCAACCCGTGGATCCACCGCCGGAGCCAACCTCCGACACCATGGCTACGGAAATCCCACCGGAATCTTCAGTCTCCGGCGGCGTTATGAAGAATAAACCGAAGAAGAAGAAAAAGAAGAATAAATCGTGCGACAATGATCTTTTTGACCCTCAATCTTCTTCCGCTGCCTCCTATGCCCCATCGTCTTGTTCTACGACGTCGTTTTCTCAAAGGGGTATTAGGGTTTCGGCAAGTCGTCGGAACCCTAGAGTGGTAATTGGGGCCGGCAGGCAGAAAAGTGATGAGAATGTTGAAGCCCTTGCTCTCCCTCTTGGCATGTCTATTGCTGCTGTTCTTGCTCAGGTTCCTTTTTTTCTTTTTCTTTTTCTTTTTTGGAATTGTAAAATGTAGCACCTTTCTTGTAATGTATGTGGTGCTTGCTAGTATCCTAGTTATATCTATTTATTTTTAATTTTAGTAAAATTTTGCACCTTTAGAATGCAACAAGAATCAGTCTTTTATGTGAAATTTGTGAACCTTTTTAAAATATATATTTTAAAGTGAAATTTGTGAACCTTTAGGATGCAAGATTCGATTTTTATGTGAATTTTATGCTATCGTTGAGCTTGGGATTGGTTTTTAGCTGATAATATTCATATTTTTCAATGGGGTTTATTGTATTTACTAAATACTGTGATTTGTAATTGTGGATGGAAACTATTTTATTTCAAGTACATTGTTCGATTACATGAAAAAGCTTCAGTCTTTTTCGTGAAAGTTGTGTTATTTGTGTCGAAAGAAGTGATCTGAATTATGAGATTGAAATTTAGCTGGCAAAGCTATATCAGTTATTTGTGCTTCTTGTTGTTACCTCTTTTTGGCGATGATTTGGAATTACAGGTTGAAATTCTTGAATTTTCTAAAGTTATTAGAAAATGTAGTGAAAGGAGGTGTGTGGAGCTGTTATGTTGCAGCGGCTTATTTTGAATATCATGTTTCCTTTTGCGTTGGGTGTATCCTTTTGTGTAATTTTGAAGATCATCTTTCAACTGTTTTTGTATATTTCTCTATTATTCAGTAGGCTTGATAACTTGTTCATAGTCATATGACCTCACAATAACATGTGTTTTCTACAACGAGCTACTGACAAGATTGTTAAAGCTGGCTCAACATTTGTGTCGTAAAATATCAAAAGCAGAACAGTCTAGGTTGTTACGACAGTTTTTGTAATCCAAGATCCCCTAGCTGTTCAACTTGCAGTATTGTTTGTTAAAGAAACGAAAGCAACAAAACTAATAATAATTGTAAGATGATTAGTTTTCGGGATACTGGAATATATCTAGGACGACACAGTTTATATTAAGTTAGGAGCCTAACACTTCATACTTGATAACGAGTCTTATTCCTTGTATCTACTAGTATGTTGTTTTTTCAGTTCTAAGATGGTATCATTCAGGTCAACTGTAGCTATGATGGGAAGAACTAGAAAGTCGTTCATCGAGTGTGTGTGCATTCTGCTTAGAAGTCTTTGACATCTGAATTGATCTAGATCTTAAAACTGGTATGCTTAGCCGAATAGAGTGAAACTTCAGTTTATTACTAAGGTGGATATTGGTAGTTCTTATTTGGGGAAAAGAAATATATTAAGTTTCATCTTTTGTGAAGTTGACTCTTGATTTTTGCATTCATTATATATTTTTCTTTTCGAATGCTAGTTCCATAATTTTGTATTGTAGCTAGATATAGTCATTATAAGAAAACTAGGTATATTTTTTAATTATCTTAGGTGGAGATGTCTTGATCCCTTCTCAATCGCCTGGATTGATGCCCCGATGAATTTTGATTCTCTTCCTCTTCTTTTTGAGTCATAGTCTGCTTCGGTGGTTGTTGCTACACCTGCTTCCACTTGATGGTTGTCCCCTGCCTATACTTTCAACCCTAAGGCTACACACTTATAAATGTCAGATTTGTTTTATATTACTAAATGGTGTCACTAGGTTGATTACCACTCTTGGACGGAAATGCTCTCATGATGCACAATGAGGGTAACATCTTTGATTGTCTCATCATTTTTTTTTTTACTTTGCACTTTTCTGTATTGTCTATCAGTGACAGAAATGTCATATTCGTTGTGCATGTTAGCTTTTATCTTTTCACTTGTTCCTATAATATCCATTTATTAGTTATAAAATTACCTCAAAGAATTTCTTTTTTGAGGAATAAACTCAGGACAATAGTTGATTTCTCTTAAGCTATCCCGTATACTACCGTCATAAATATTTTTATTTCTAATAACCCACGGAGTTTTCTGAGCACGAGCTCACCAAAGGTTTTTTCCTATTATGCCATCATTCTTGAAATTGCCTCCTGCAGTTCTGTTACAATGTAGCCATCAACTTGTCCTATTGTAATGACATGGCATCCATGCTTAGGAGGTCGACTCAACTGTCTAAGGTCTAGGAAAATATTTCGGTGGAATGATGTTAGAATTTGATGAGTCATTCATGTTTAGCTTCTGAGTGTCTTGTCTTGCCAGTTTCTTTTACTAAATCTATTCTCTGTTTCGTTGTAAATTCATTTGCTCATATTTAGAAACCTCTTCTCTCTTCTGTTGATGTTTAAAACTTCAACAATGTTTGGGTTCTTTTCTTTTCTTTTTTCGTTATGATCATGGCGTGGTTGAATTTTTTTAATAAGCTTCACGGAATGTGCGTCACAGAAATTACAATGATAATGATAACAACGACGACAGCAATAGTAACAAAGGAGGATATTATACTCTTTGTTAATAGCACATATTGTCATTTAATTTGACGGTGTTACCTTTTGAGATATAAGCTGCCTTTTACTACTAAAAGCCCTATAAACCTTGCATATTCTGATGTCCATTTAATTCAAACATGAGGGGTGCTTCACATTCTAAAGGATGAGTTTTGTCTTGTTTGATACTGCATCTTTTTGCTGCTGCAAAGTTGTCACCCTCCTTATTACAGGAACTTAATATGTTGATAGTCGCTCATGAGTTGTGACCACTGACCATGTTTGTTATGTGTTTATAAGGATATAGTAAGAGTAGGCTGTTAATATAGTTTATGTTGCTTCATTTAGGTTTTGGAAAGGAAAGATGCGGCTGGAGAAAAGATATCGGTGGATCACCTCTCAGAGGTATGAGATAGTGACGGACAGTTTCCATGAAGTGATGTAGAACTTAATAATGGTTTGCACTTCGCAGAACCATATTACCATAAATCAAAATGAACTTCAAGGGTGTTTTATCTTCTCTGTCCAAGCGAACATCCTTACTTGATTGAATTTTAGATTACAACAATAACCTGTCGTCATGGACATGTTTACAACATTTTGTATTTCCTCAGAGAAATCAGATGTATAGATTTCATGATTTTATTTTCTCTCATTTTTCAACAGATTTGTACTTTAGCTGTCCGAGAGTCTTTGGCCAATGTAAGCAAAATCCATCTTCTCTCTCTTAAGCTAATGGTTTGTCACTAATACAGTCAGCTCAACATAGTCGCGATGTTAAAGCAGCAGACTTTCTACTTTTGGCTTGTTTTGGAAACAGGTCTTCGGTGACCAGTTTGAGTCTTTCGTGAGGAACTTTGAGAAATCATTTCGTAGTACCCTGATGACTCTCAGATTAATCAATGAATCCTCTATGAATAATGGAGAACAGAAAAATTGTTGTGCAGCGAAGACTTCTGTCTCAGAAAGATCTGTGCCTTTGATTTCCAACAGACTAGAAAATCTTACATGTGATCCTGACTTCAGCGAGTTTCAATCGGAGTCATGTCAGCAGAGTGCCATATCAGATAACGAACTGAGTAATCAAGAAGAAAGAAGTGATGGTACATGTCTTGAATCGATAGGTCGGCAGCTTACCCTCTATGATAGGCAAGGAAGGCAGCAATTGGCTTCTGTTTCTTCAAGCATGATTTCATCCAGTACAGAAATTAATCGATCTGTGAGTAGCACTTTGGAAAGATCTGTCATGGAGCAAGCTAGGTCGAATGACCTCAAGACATTTGAGATTGGTCTTACAATGAGGAAATTGCAACTTAAAGAAAGGCAGCTGGCTCTCAGTTCTGATGCGAACCTTTTGGAGAGGGTCAAACTTTCTTTTGGTTTCTCTAAGACGTCCTTCAAAGCCGAAAAGTTTAAAAATCAAGTAGAAGACTCAAAACATACTGAGATGCTTAAAACATGTTTAGACTGCCTTGTTGCTGGTTTATTTATCATGCTGGTGTGTCTTGGATACGGAACTTATGTTTTCTCTCACAAAAGAATAACTGAAGCTACAGCATCCTGCACACCTGTCATGGTAAGTGATATCTGATTCTGAATTGCATTAGTTTTGTTTAAAGGTTTTGTTAAGAGTTCTAGTAAAGTATTGACTCAAGCCAATTGCCTTATCTCCCCTTCCAGAGTCTGTAAATGGCAGAAACTTAGCAACAAAAAGAGAATGTTTAACTCTTTTCCCGTTGCTACATAAAGTTTTTTTCATTGGAGTCAGTAGGGGGTGGCTGGAATAGATGTAACATGCATCATTTTCGTTTATGTCACAAGCTCATTTGAGTCCCTTGTTTATGCAAGTCCGAGTCAAAATGAAAGGTGTCGGGTACATGCATGCAGGAAGTTCTTGAATAAAGAAGCACATTTTCAAGTTGGTCAAAGGGTGGAAAAGAGGGTTGATGGTTATAGTTATGATAAGGCACAATAAATATATTTTAGCTATATAGTTGCCAAGTGGCATGTATTGCTGGGAAAAAATGGTTTCTTTATATCCAAATGCTGACTAATGATTTCTATTTTCTCTTTCTTTCACTTCCTTTGTTCTTTTTATTTAACAAATTCACCTATATAAGCGATGCACAAAAAGGTAAGGACTTTTTTCTCAAGGATACTTGTCGTCCTAAGAAGTTGATGTTATTCGTTATAGATGCTGCTTTTTGTGTTATTTCTAAAGCATGGACCCCATGGATGATAATTTAATTAGTTGGCCGTTTCTGTTTATCCATGTGTTGTCGGTGTATAGCATATATTAGCTATACCTATGCTAATGACACTGGACATATTTTTTGTTATAGGAGTACAAGTCGTCCTGGTGGATGCCCAAATCAATGTCAACTTTCAATTCAGGACTGCAATTCTTGCGGTGTCAGGTTCAAGTTCTCAGTCGTATGCTATTTGGTGCTATCCTGATATTGGCTATAGCCTATTTACTTCTCCAACGCTCAGCAACTTCAAACCAGACGATGCCAGTTACTTTCATTCTGTTGCTGTTGGGAGTTGGCTGCGGTTTTGCAGGGAAGTTTTGTATCGACACCCTGGGGGGCAGCGGATATCATTGGTTAATTTATTGGGAGACTTTGTGCTTGCTGCATTTCTTTTCGAATGTCTGTATCTCAACTTTGTTACTGATCCTTAATGGGCCTGTCACGGTGTCAGAAAAGAGCACGAGGGATACAAGATTTCCATACTGGATGAGGAGATCTGTGTTCTATACCACATTACTTCTTTTCCTCCCGTTGTTATGTGGTCTGATGCCTTTTGCTGGCCCTGGTGAGTGGAAGGATCACTTTTCTTCACTGGTTCTGGACGCTTTTATAACTCCAGTTGAATACTAAAGTCTAAAAGGGAGAGATTTCAGGCTTTAGCCCTATTGGATGTGAACCACTGTTTGATGAGTGCCTGTCGAGGAATTTTAGCCTAGAGTATTAGGCGCAAGGGTTTATTAATTTCTATATCAGTAGGAGCTTGCGCTTGCTGGTGATTATGCCCTATTGGATGAAACACTGTTTTGGTCTTCGCCCTGTCAAGGAACTTTAGCTTTGTATCGTTAATTAGTAGAAGACGTGCGTTAAGTGTCAGGCTTAAGGGTGATTGATTAGGTTTATTATTTTTGCATGTAAATTTATTTGTATCATTAGAGGCTAGCTAAAAGCGCAAGATTAGTTTTCCATTTCCTTTATTTTTGGTTTATATTATAATTGGGAGAAAGCAGGTTGAGTCTTGTAACATCATCTTTGTGAAAATGCAAGATACACTAGTACCAAACAGCATCTTGTAGTATTTTCTTTCTTTTTTATTTAAATTAAAGAAATATTGGCTTGTAGATTGTATTGGTCTGGTACCAATGTTCTGTGATCTGTTTATATGCTTCTTCAGGATTTGTTGTATACTACATTATTGGAATCTATATGGTTTTGACTTTTGATCATTTAACCTGATTGCTCCTGGGATTTTTTTTTCATTCTGTAATTTTTGTTCTTCTTGGACAGGACGTTGTTCTTAGGTTCTTACACGGCCAATAACACACTCAGAACATAAAAATTAAACAGCAATTATACCTGCCTTCTTTTCATGTAAGCACTGCACCCCAATGTAAATCTATAAATAAAATGCTAATTTCATGGGTAGATGGTTTTGGTACTTGGAACTATTTATTTCTTTTTGGTGAGGATCAAACTTTGACACTTACGGGTTATTTGGTTGGGAAACAAGTTATCCCAAAATTAATTATCTTGGGACTGTTATCTCGCCTTTTCATAGGGATAAAAATAGTACTACAATCCGAGATTACTAATCTCGAGATTAGTTATAGGGCGATTTTATCCCAATCAAACGGTTGGATCAGATGTCAACCTGTGGAGGCACCCATGAGATAAACTCATCTCAAATTTAATCCCAAGATTAATTATCCCTTATCTCTCGTACCAAACGAGTTATTACAAGATATTTAATAGCATCTCTACCAATGACCACCCAATCCTCTAATGTTCACGTTACTTCCTACCTCATATTTACCATTGCTTGTTTTCTTTTTGGGCGAAGGAGAGGGAGAGTGCAGTTTTTGAGTATTTGTACCATGGATTTTAGCACTCACTCCATTACTATTTCCTTATTAATCTATTCAGAAAAGAATCATACTCGGTATATTTAAAAATAATTTAAATTTAAATTTTTATTTATTTTTAATGACATGCTTTAAATTTACATAAATCTAATGACATGTTTAACACCACTAGTTCCAAAAGTCTTTCTTCTTCGAAAAAATATCAGATATACCATTGTACTATCAAAAAATGATTTAAATATATCCTTCGGTATACTATTTGCTTATTCTAGACCCTATCATTATACTTTAGAACAAATACTCTAATTTTGGATGGAGTGTCACGTGGCTGTACTAGATTAAATCTGAGGCACTACTAGTGTCGCAGATTTTCTTTGGTTGTCCACCTCAATCCATGGATATTAACTTCAATTCCATTTACTTGACCTCTTGATATTCTTAAAACAAACTTCATATTATCACATTATCTTTCTCTGTAATTGCCCATTGATGCAAACCAGCAAAAGTACTTGTCTCTTCTGAGCATCCACTAGGATCAGGCTTGGGTTTGTATGCAGCTAACTTTCTTGGGTTTGTACGGTTACAAGGTGGGTTGCTCTGATGGTAAGCACCCTCCACTTCCAATCAAGAGGTTGTAAGTTCGAGTCACCCCAAGAGCAAGGTGGGGAGTTCTTGAAGGTAAGGATACTGAGTTTCTATTGGAAACAGCCTCTCTACCCCAGGGTAGGGAAAAGGTCTGCGTACACACTACCCTCCCCAGACCCCACTAGTGGAATTATATTGGGTTGTTGTTGTTGTTGTAACTTATATTTAAATCATTTTCGATAGTACAGGATATATCTGACCCTTTTCCGTTCTTTCTTTTTAAAATGTTAGGTCAATGCCTAAACAAACTGCGGCACATAAATAAAAGGAAAAAGGGTCAAAATTACCCCCTTTACTATGCGAAAATGATCATTATGTTCTTCATTTTACTTTCGGCCCACTAATGTCCTCGACGTTACAAAATTGGTGCAAAATTATCCCTTTTCCGTTAAGGCCCTCCACCATATGGCCAACACCATCCCATGTGGCATGACATATCACTGAGGTGGACATCACGCGGATGCCACCTCTGCCCCAACTCGATTTTACCGGTCCCACACTTCTTCCGCCCCCACTACCTCTCCCTCCACCCAACCACATGCCCCAAGTAGAAATTCATGGCTATAAAGTACCTTCTCTACTTTCCATATGTACCCAGTATGTTTATCAATAGACCAAAGGCAGAGTCAAAGCTTAAGCAAATGAGCTAGATCAGGCATAGCTCCAATTTTTAGATTGAACTCCAAAAATTTCACCGGTAGATATGATTGGGGAGATGGCATACCACATGGTGTCCAACTCGGTGATATGTCAAGGTCATGGAATGGTGTTGGCCATGGTGGAGGACCTTAATGGAGGGGTATTTTTGCACCAGTTTTGTAACATCAAGGGCATTACTGGAGCGAAAGTGTAACGGAGGACATAAATGATCATTTTCGCACAGTAGAGGGGTAATTTTTGACCCTTTTCCCTAAATAAAAAAGTAGGGAGTAGGATCTCCATAGCCTAAAGAGACTCATTTGCTTTTTTTAGCAGAGGCTTTCAGTGTACATAAGTAGCCATACCATAGCTGCAAATACTAGCAATGTCCTTATCCCAATAGAAAATGCAGGAGGCAAGCAGTTAAATTGGGTCCTGCTTAAGAATAGCCATGCTCACATTAGTATCATATCAGAAGAACACCTCCATGAGTGGATACAACATTCACTCAAATTTATTTGAAACTAAAAATTTATAGCTTAAATTCAAACTGGGAACCAACTCTTAATTGCAGCTCCTATTGTCTGTAGGGGTGAACATGATAACTGAAGCTTCAGTTGAAAAGGATTACATTTGTATCCAAAATGAGAAAAATTCACAGCTAGCGAAGACAAGAACACGTTGCCAAAATTTTTTACTGAACTCTAGCTATAAGGTTGAGACGAAAAAACTACATTTTGCTTCTGTGGATCTTCTACATCCTCAAATAGTTCCATAAATCCAAATGGTTGCTTCAAGGTACAAGCCAAGTTGAGCAGTATGATTCCATCATGCAGCTCCAAAGTAGGCATCCAAAAGTAAATGGTTCGACAATAGTCGCTTATATTTTGATGCATCATTCAGAAAACTTTGTGAGCCTTTCCATAGTATCTGTTTATGAATGGAGACTGCAAAGAAAATTTGGAAACAAAAGAAAGAGGTGAGGACCACGAATTTTATTTGCAACATATCAAACAGTTAATAATCTATATTGAGTCTTAACATAGATCTCATTTTAATGTTGGGTTACACTAAAGCAGCAACAGCCTAAATCTTGAGGGTTCAACGCTCTCAAATTATCAGTTTCATCAAAAATCTCATACAATTGTTACGCAGTCATGTGATCATGCATAGACCTATTTATACAAAACTTAAGACTACGAACAGGATACTGACCTTGACCTGAGATACATCAGGAGCATCAGGTGAGGGCATTGGATAAAATTTATAAAACTTCATACTTTGAAATGCAGCTTTTGCTTCTTCACTCATCTCCTGTATAGCTTTTTTCCTGGCTTCTCTTGCCTAAAACGTGGAAAATTATAAGTCGTGAAAATTCAGCAAATCAAGCACTCTGGTATTGACACAAACCAACAGTTTTAACACGAAAAAAGATACAGGATTGCGACAAGATTCTCAAAATATACCTCTCGATTATTCTTCTTTCCTTCACGAACCTTCTCCTTCACAAATTCCTATAATGACAAAGATGATTCATTGAAGTTATATAGTTTTTTTGACAAGGTAAAGATTTATCACCGATGTACAATGAGTACTGTCATTTGATATCACAAGGAAACGTTACCATAAATTCATCTTTTTTATCTGCCGCTAACTCCTCTGCCTCAATAAATTTGTCTGCCATTTCCTACAAATTATCACTCAAGTTAATAGATGGTAAAATGGCTTGAAAATGGAACTATACACGGGCATATACAGATTGGTATGACTTGAAACTAGCAAAACTTGCAATACTTGAACCAATAGAGGAAATGCTAATCCTCCTTCGTTTCATATTGGAAAATTTACCTCTTCAGTAAAATGAAAATTTTATCTCGTTAAATCAATTCAACTTAAGTATAAACTGTAACTATTTTATATAGAGCTTCGCCTCTCTCCTTGAATGGAACTGGCACCAACAATTCATACAACTTAAACTTTATTTTATTTCAAACTTGATGCAGTATTCTATCAACTAATTACTCTGCTTCTTCGCGTGTCAAAGTTTATAATCTTAAACAGTGTTCAAACTTGACACAAGTTTGCTCTTCAATCTCCAAACGCCTTTGGTGAGAAAAATGACAACCCATAGGATGATTATTTTAAGCCTCGCTCGAACTGCTAAGAAAATAAAAATTTGTCCACTCTTACATTTGTCTAAAAACATGGAATCATCATAAGGAAAGCCAAATTGGAGAAAAGGCAGGATCTGGTCAGAAATGGCAGAGTGACGTCCAGAAAAGGTAAACGATATTCTATTGTGGGTTCCAATGAGGAGAGTTTTCTCCTTTCCGTTTTATTCTAGTAAAATGGAGAAGAGAGAAGTTTGGTTTTGGTTGGAAAAAAAATTCTTAGTGATAGTCCAACAAAAAAGAGAGTTTATTTCAAGGAATTGCTGGATTATGTTTATTGTGTGTAAGCAAACGCTGCAACAGCAGAAATCATAAAGCTAACATACTGAATTGGATAGTAGCAAATAGCAAGTTTGACATTAAGATTTGTAACGATCCTTGGAGTTTATCAACGCTACTCAAATTTTTTAAACCTCAAAATCCAATCAAACTCACAAATATGGTATCTCAGCAAGAACCTCTGAATTCTTTTTTTGAGAATGAACAAGAACCTCTGAGTTCTTGCAGTTTTCTAAATTAGGATAAATGGAATTCAATTATGCAACAATCACACAAATATCGAATATTTTCTTTTTTCAGCGGAACAAGTTTCTCTAAATTTAGGACACTAAAAGGAGAAAATGGAGAAGTTTCTTTTTATAGGAGAAATAGAGAAGTTATCAAGCTGGTGGTCAAATGTCTTAAAGAGCTTCCACATATGAGGCCAATCAAAGAACCAACTAAAGAAATTCTGAACCGCATTTTAATTTTCATTTGGAAAGAGGACGGCACCCAAAAGTAGACAGGTGGAAGAGAATAAAAAGAGAAGGCTTTTAAGCATACCTCTGGCTCATCAAATTCCCAATCAAACTCGCAAAACACCTGGAGCAAAACAAAGTCAAAACGTTCATAAAAGTGTGAAGATCATGCCTATATGCCTATACTTCTCTTCATACAACCACTTATGAATCTAGTATACAACATTGCCCCCATGTCACTCCCATCTAATAACAATATCAAACCAAGAAAAGTCATCCTCAAGCAATCCCTTTTATGACGCTAGCATTGTGGAATAACTATTGTATAGTTTACTAGTATTTGAAAGCTTACAGGCGGTTCTGTTGGGAATAAGATCTGCACGATGGTGCTCTGTTCAAGTTCATCTTCTGCAAACGGCTGATAGAAATCTGCCAAGAAAATAAATGTCACAGACTTCTACCCAGAAACAGAACCCATCAAAGACAACTATAACGATTAAAAAACGTACAGAGCAAGGAAAGTTAAAGTTGACAGTTTATCGTCTCATTCACAAGTGAAAAACTGCAAAAGAAACAGTAGAGGAAAATGTATGAAACTGAAGCACCAAGCTAGAGTCAACTAATATAAGAAATCATTAGATATCATCTTCTCAAACAAACTCAAACCCACATATAAAGGCTTACATGCTTGATATTCAATTAAATAATTTTATGATGATTATCAGAAACATCTTAATGATTTAACGATGACGTTTTATAACAGATTAAGTATATGTAAATACATATAAAAAGAAAAAACTATCAGCAAATCAGACAGCAAAAAGTCAGTAACTAAAAGAGTTTAATTTTCTACACATTCAAAAAAGGTAGAACTAAATTATATTCAGTGCTAGCACACAGACAATGCAACTTTAAAATATTGAATTTTCTGAATTTTAAATACAGTGACTTGTATCATTCAGCGATACAAAATTAAGCAATCCAGCCAAAAAGCTTCACTCAGAAGATAGTTTTCTCAAAACAGCTCATTAGAGATATATTAAAATTCATTCCGGAGACTCCCAGCAAGGGATAAGCACAGCAGTACTCCAAGCTTTTATTCTCCAGTTATAGATGTTAGTACCCAGCCATGCCCAATAACTAAGCCTTACCACAATTAGGCATTACCCAATGCACCTTATACAAAGAAACATGTCCCAAATCTGACTGTGCCATCTCAGAATGAAGAAAAAGATAGGATAAGTGACCGACTCATCCTCCTTACAAATATAGAAGCAATTTGCTAACCTAAACCCCCTCCCCCCTGTTGAATGTTATTCTAAAGCAAATTAGCCTGCAGTGCAACTATTAATCTCAGAGGTCCACATATCCTCCAAGCAAGTTTATAAGGATGCTAATCATCAAACTTGTTGCTTTTAGAAATGAGAATTAATGAGAAAGGCTTGATGAAGACCGTCTTTACATGTTAATAACTCAAGTCCACATATCCTCCAAGCAAGTTTATAAGGATGCTAATCATCAAACTTGTTGCTTTTAGAAATGAGAATTAATGAGAAAGGCTTGATGAAGACCATCTTTACATGTTAATAACTCAAGTAGTTATGGACTAGCAAGTCCTAAGACCTGCTTCAACACAACAAATGCGGGGGAGGGTGGGAAGGGAGTTACCTCTGAGGATAGATTCTGAAAGAAAGATATACGCATCAATTATCATGATACTATAACAGAATCAACTAATCTCAGAATTTAAAGCAGCATAAAGGTAAAACTTAAGCTACGTTAATGATGGACACAAGGAAACAAACAAAGGGCTTAATCTCCATAGCTATTGGAGTTATCTTACTTACAAGGTAAGCAATATTCAAACTTCTTCACTCGCTCCAGCTTCAAGTGTTTTAAACCAGCCCTGGAATAAACAAGTAGAAAGATATTAATCACGGAATGTTTTCCATTGTCTCCTATCACCTCTTTAACACAGAAGCATCATGCATCTTATGACAGTGAAAAAATCTCCTCAGATACCATACTGAGAAAATTGAGTGCCTTACAGACCAAATACCACCAGCCAAACCATCAAAGAAGAATGCAGGAGGTAAGGAAGCTGACCTTCTTTGAGTACACCTCAGAATAAAAATTTGGGATTTGAGTCTTTCAACTTGAGATTCCCTGTTGGTCAGCCAAAGAATAAAAGCAGCATCAGAAGCCAAGATATAAAACAGTTACATAAGACATACAAGAGAGGCAACAAGAAAGAAAATTAGCTGAGGGACAATACCGTTGTTCCAAAGGAACGTATGTTGTTTGAAGCCATAAAGACATACNTCCAATTTTATCAGAAGGTGGAAAAGGAGATACAACCTGTTCAAAAGGAGGAATAAAAATGACACTGAAAGAGAGGAGATTATATAATGTATGTTTAAGGAAGAACAAAGAGTTTATAACCAGCCTGTACATGAGGTAGAAGGATGTCAAGTTCTGAAATCATTTTACTTTTACAAAAAGCACAAAAGTTAGAACCATGGTAAGGTTCTCGTCTCAAAAAAAAGGGGAACCATGGTAAGGGCACCTTAATAATACACTAGAAACCGCAGAAAGTCGATTGAAGTTATCAGCAATTGTTCTCTAGTTCTTTTTCTGTCTTTCCTAGGTTTAGTCTCTCTCTCTCTCCGCAATGTTAATACTCTTCTATATGGCTCAGCCCAAGAAATTTCATTACTCGAGTGTACAACCTTGTCACATTTTCAAACTTCTTAAGGTCACTAACAGTAAGGGGATGGGCTCAAAAGTAAATTCTTTGTAATCTCCATGCCATCCATTTACGGGGGACCAGACTAAAGCTATACGCCTATACCCGACAAACAAGAGGTCAAAATGGGTCAAATTGAAAAATGCAGCCAATTTAATTGTTATGAGCAGTGAAGAATATCTAAACAGAAGTGAAACACATAAGGTTAATAGTTCTAACTATTTCAATATAAAGCTAGATCTTAGAGACTTACAGCAACCACAACAGGTATACACGTCACTTTTGATTGGCCCTGAAAAAAAACCAATTGTGCTGCAAAAACAAAAGACCAGTTAGTCATGAAGCAAATTAATTGAGTCCATACGAGGATATTAGTAGCAAGAAAAAACAGAATAAGAAGTTGAAAGAATACGATCGCCTATGCTAAAGAAAAAGTGTTTCAGAGTACATAAAACAGAACTTCTTATTATGAACAGTATCAAATAACTAATCACAAATATTGACAGGAAAAGGAAGGTAATCAATCAAATGTAGGGGTCAATTACCCATACATGAAATTATGCAGCAACTCTCAAGTAAATAGAAATTTGAACATAGAAAACGGTGAGAAGATAAATATTCACTAAAAAATTGGCAGGAAAAGAAGAGAATGAATCAGCTGAAGGGGTCAATGATCCCCAGGTGAGAACTTGCATAGGAAGATTAGAATAAAGAGAAAGTTGAGCATGAAAATGATGAGAATATGACTATGCACAAGACAATGACGGAAAAAGAAGGGATAAATCAGCTGAAGGGGTTGAAGATGTCTAGGTGAAACTATATATCAAGATTCAACACTAAACAGAAAGCTGAACCACATTGTAGAAGCATTGCACTTTCAAAGATCACAGCTATAGTCAAGCTGCTTGGAGCATATCACATGAATATGTCCATAGAATAAGTAAGGCGACAAGCTTCAGCTACCACTTACGTTCAGTACAACCAAAAAGATACACTTTCTTTCCATGCAATTCTCCGCCTTCTTCAAATGCATCCTATCAGAAAACACACAAGACCTTTGAGTTATCTGGTCTTTTTTTGTTTGAATAATTTGCATACAGAAACATAAGGCAGATAATGCACTGTCTTTCTTAATACAAAATTTTATTGAATCAAAAAACAAACTGAAAATAACCAACTCACTTCGAGATTCGAGAAATTCCATTTGTATTGGTAAACCATGTCTATCTGATCCCACTGGCACCGAGCAAAAGAATAAATTCAAATTTCAGAAATTATAAGCAAGAAATTAAGTACCATAAACCAGAAAGTCATGCCAATGAATAAACAGAAAGCCGTTTTCAAAAAAATGAATAAACAGAAAACAATCAAACTCTAACCTCTGTGCCAACAGGAAAAACCTCTTGCCATAGATCTTCCTGCAAAATATACCAATTGAAACTGTAAGCTAGCAGGCAAAAGTATTATTACCTGACTACAAGAGCAAGGAGGAAACTGCAAATCTTCTGCAATAAAAGTTCGAACGAGTACAATTGCAACTATGAATCTAAGCACAAAATACTATCATCAAACCATTTAGCAATTCAAAGAAACATATCTACCCTACATTATTAAAGGGAACAACAAGATTTCGTCAAGGCTCCCCTTCACAAGATTACACAAAATAACCCAAAAAAATATTTAAGCAAAAGCCCAAGTGAGCATTAACAATTATGGCAGTACCAAACCACAAATGGAGTAATTAGCACTTCAAACGATCCAACTTAACCTACATTATCAAAATAAAACAACCAATAAAAAAGTAAATCAAATACTCGAGCAAAAACCCATATCATTACAATCATTCAAGAACATTCAGCTATGAGAATCCTCCCAATCCATTCTACTTTATTGAGTTATTCAGGCCTATTAACAATCATTGAACTACCAAAGCATAATATTTAGCAGTTTAAAGATTCAACTTACTTAACATTATCAAAATGGAAGAACCAAAATAATCCACAAAAAAAGGGGCAGGTAGCATTACCAAATTACGCTTATCAGGGAAATACTCAGTCTCAGTTTGAGGCTTAGCAATCTTGGCTCGTTTAGCTCCGCGCTTAACAACACCTTTGCTAGGCTCTCCTCCTTTGTCATTGTTCTTAGGCTCTTCTTTCTGAACAGATTCTCCTTGCTCCGCAGCTGATTGGGATTGGGCTTCGGCGGTCTCATTCTTGTTGGTCGCTTCTTCGGTGGTTGCGGTTTGTTCTTGGCTACTAACCTTCTCCTCTTCCTTGGACTTGCCTTTTCTTCCTCCTACTTCTCTAGCCTTTCTCTTTGTACCTTTCCTCATTGTTTATTGATTTTAAGGGTTTGTTGGGGGTGAGAATTTGAATTGGAAGAGGAAGAGAGACGATGGCGGAAAATAGAACAAACCCAGAAATAGAGAGAGGCGCTGAGGTAATAAGGAGGCAATTTGCGTGAAGGGGGGTGGGTAGCGCGTAAATCCAACGCGACCAAACTGACCTTTAGTGGGAGGGAGATTGAAATTTTTGGTTAGTTTCCCCCCCTTCTCAAAACTACATAGAAGTACTCAGATTCATGTTCTTGTAATTTAACCCTCTTAACGTCGCCCTAAATCATAATTAAAGGGAATTAAGACAATTAACTTAACTAGTGGTTCTGAATAATTTAGGGGTCGTTTGGTTATTGGTTAGGATTATGCAGGTATTAGTAACGTAGAGATTAGTTACGTAGGATTTAGTTATGCAGGATTTAGTTATGTTATGATTAATTATGCAAGAATTGGTTATGCGATAATTAGTTATATAAGGATTAGTAAAATATAAATATAATTTGAGTATTATTTATTATTAGTCTAGTTTATTCTATTACAAATATTATTATATTATAGATATATTTTTAAACGAAAAAATACAAATATGAATAGAGGGTATTCTTGTTATTCGTGTTTTAATATAAGTATTACTAATACATATATAAGTTATTCCACCTTCTACCCTATATATAAAATATATAAATTCCTTCGTTACTTATACATATATTAGTTATGCGGAAAAGAAAAATATGAACTAAATATTGTATTAGCAATTCTATCTTTTATGTGAAAATGAGAAAAAACTAACCAAATATTGTATAACTTATGCTAGATTTTATGCGGAGATTATTTTTTTTCCCAATTTTATAACCAAACAATGTAAAGAGTTATCCTAATTTTAGTACATAAATAACTCCTTCTAACCGACTACCAAACGACCTCTCAGTCATTTAGTCATCATAGCAAATAAATTGGATTCGATAGAAAGTCTATCTATTCATAATCTCCAAAAAAATGCATCAACGAAGGAAGCAAGTAACAAGAACTATACATAATAATGCAAATCTACTTTGAGTAGGAACTAGAAAATATATTTAATATAAATTTTATTAAAAAACTTATTTAAAATAAAGAAACTCACAAATATCAAATTCTGAACGATTGTGTTTTTTTTACTCCAACTTTGAATTATTATTTCACAACTTAATTTATCTTTTTTTTAATAACAACGTTTTTTATATAGAAGTAACAACAACAACAACAATAACATACTCAGTGTAATTTCATAAGTAGTGTCTGGGATGGTAGAGTGTACGCAAACCTTACCCTTGACTTTAAAAAGTCAAAGAGGCCGTTTTCATATAGAAGATATGAGTAAAATAAAGGCATCTAGTAACTCTATTTATCAAGATTTAGTTGTATGAGAAGAAATTGCATATTAAGTATTATTTTTTGTTTCTATTGACAATTGAACTGTAATCTCTTATAATTTTCACTCACTTGAGCGCTAGATCACATAAGTTATGATTTAAGTGTGTCAATTATTATTATTTTTTTATTTTTTTAATAGTGATTTTATCCGACCAACTTGCACGCATTTCATCTATTATATGGTTATCTATGTTTTGATTTATCCCTGTCAATTGTTAAATTGACGAATCCTGTCAATTTTGGATAGTTAAGGGTGATCAATTCACTGAATAAGTAGTAATCCAAACTACTCTAAATTGTCATCTGTCCACGTTGACGACAGTGTCGTAACTCAACTTATCTAACTTTATTTTTTTTGTTCTTTCAATAATATAATTGAGTTACTAAAAATAATTTGTTATTCCATTAAGTAGAATTATATTCCATATTTAGCACCATCCTTTCGTTATTTTCCCTAACGAAGCTTTCTTATGAATTGATTTTTGTGGAATAATATAATACAAGCTAACCCAACCTTTTAAATAGTAGTTTTGGTTACATGGAAAGTCTATCAACATATGTCGGTCGAACATGTATTCACATTCCATAAATTATAGGATTTTGATGTCTAGTCCAAAAAGACTTCACTATCGTTTGGACATAGATTTGATTGAAATTTGAAAAAAGAATTTTTGAAGTTGTGTTGAAAAAAAAATTTAAAGTTGAAGTTGTGTTTGGACATGCATTTTATTTGAAGAAAAGTTAAAATTTTGTGAGTAGAAGAAAAAATTTCACCCAAAAATTATCCTAAACTAGTTTTTGGGAACTTAAAATTTTTTAATTTTTTTTTCCCAAAACATTATCATATTTCATAAACAAATAATGTTTTTTTAAAAAATTATAAAAAATGAAGCCAAAATATATGGCCAAACGGGAACTTCAAAACTCCTACTTCAAAGTGTCAGAAAAAATTGGTGGTGGAGTGGACATCATGCAATGTAAAATATATGGACCCAATTGATTTTCTTTTTTACTCCTCTTTTGGAGCTCCCTATGAGTAACCGTTTTTGTTTAGACTTGTTGTTTAAAAAATAGTTAACGATTGAAAAGTATGAAAATTTTAGTCCAAATACGGAAAATTCATGTGGCTTAAGTAACATAAGGTTCATCGCGTAGATGTTATTGTTATTAGTGTTTCTTCTTATTCTTATTCTTATTCTCCTCTTCTTCTTTCGATTGTTGAAGAGTGTGGAAAATACTTATATATCTAGATAATAATTGATGGTAGATACCAGTGATAGATCCATAATTTATAGATCGTGGGTGCTTCACTGATTTTATAATAAATCCACAGTAATCATAATAACTAAACATGGATATTCATTTGGGTCGGATCGGACAATTTTTTAATTAATTCAGATTGATTTACTACTAGCATTTTATGCTATAATAATAACTAGACAAACCGACCATAAAACTAAAATAAGTTCTGTTTTGTTTACCTTTTTCACTTTCAATTAATTCAAATTATATTTGAGTAAATTAGAAGAAAATTTGAAAGACAAGGATTCAAGTATGCATGGGAAATGTGCCTGTTTATTAGAAAATTTGGTGAAAAAGAATATCTCGTTTTAAAAATATTCTTTGTTTAATTCAATTATATACCTTTAAATTTCTTGGGATGTTTATGTATCCCATTCCTTAAAATATTATAATTTACAATTTCCAACAAATCAATGGTTTAGACTAGCGTAAATACAAGTATAGTCAAATTTGTGAAGTGTTACTTTTGATTCAAGTTCATTAATATTCTCCAAGTACAATAATTTAATGTTCATGCAACTATTAATACTACGTTTATAATGCTCTATTTACAATAGTTTACTTAATAACGAAAAAAATAGTACAAACTTACAAAAACATATTCAATAAAAACATAATGTTTCACTCTTAAACATTTGATATTAAAGAAAATTAAATCAATTTATGTTTTAGGCCAGTCGCTTGAAGTTCAAACTGTCATATATCAATATTAGCCTAAAGTATTAACTGCCGCGGATCAAACTTCAGGCCAATGATATATAAGGTTTTAATGTACCGATATTTTCTTAACAAAACAATAAGAAGCAGCAAATGAGAAGACAAAAAAAAAAAAAAAACGTAGGACCAAGATATATCATTGGAGAATCGCAACACTGCTTGTGCTAAACATATATATCATTTCAGAAAAGAAAGTAAAGAAAGAAAACGTAGTTAATCAAACAATACCAACTACCAAGTTAGCAACATTTTGTTAAAATATACAATTTGATATATGAATTACTTTATAGAGAAAAAATTATTGGTAATCTGCGTTCGAAATCAGAAGATTGGAGAAGCAAAGCAACGAATGTTAGTTTAATAAACAAAACAGAAAATAATTTCAAGCCCACGAATTGTTTGTGTTCTTAAGGAATTTAATCTCCTCACTGTTGCACAAGATTTTGGATTAATTCCTCCCAAGATAGAATGGAATAATTGTTCTGTGATAGCGGCAGTACAAATCACAGAACTTTGATGAACTAAACAAACGGAGCAAATAACACTTGACACTAATAATTATTTTAAAAAATAATGCAATAATGTAAAAAAGAGGGGACAAGTTTTCAGATTTTTTATTTATGAAAAATAAGTCTAAGCCTCTAAATTTATAGGCAAAGGAAGGGTGAGATGGAGAGGTGCAATTCAAAAAGTGTCTCTTTCATTTCTCATTCACACTCTTTAAAGAAAACCCCAACAATCCCCCGCATGAATGGGGAATGGCCATATGTGTAAAACTGTGCATGAAAAAGATTGTGATTCGCAAGTAATGATTAATCGCATCTGGATAAGTAGGTTTTCCTTTGAACTTTATGTAGTGAGATTATGATGGATATACTCGATCGATCGGTAGATTTGATATATTTGAATCGTCGTGCTTTGGTGTATACCTAAATAACTATAAGTCAAATTTTCAATCCTTAACCGTCTTTGGTTCTCATTATTGTATTCGTTTCAGTCATGAACACCGCATGATTTTATAAGTGCATCGAGAACCGGCCTTACAGACTTCTCCTTGAAGCGGCTTACACTTCACACTTACATAGGTGATCCCTAAATGCATTATCCCATAGATATACCATTTGATATATCTCGTATCAAACTTAAAAACAATTCAAAAGCCTTAATGTTTTATCCTTGGTACTGAACATTGTGTTATCACGTGAATTGACCAAAATTTTAATTGACAATGTTGAACCATTATTAATGACTTTGTTTGATCTCCTCAAACCTATATCTTAGGATCTCCAATCTTCTAGGTAGAGTTACCGCTACAATGACTTGTCCTTTGTCATAGTTCCATTATCCTCGATGATCTTTCAACTACCTCTCTAATTAGGCCTTTTGTAAGTGGATCTGATACATTATGGCTTGACTTTATGTAGTCAATTGTGATAATTCCCCTAGAGAGTAATTGCCTAGCGATTTTATGTCTTCGTTGTATATGACGAAATTTTTCGTTATATATAACGCTCCCAGCCCTTCCGATTGTTGCTTGACTATATATATATATATATTGATGCCAACGGTTTTGGGCCAAAATAAAATATCTTCAAAGAAATTTTAGAGTCATTCAGCTTCTTCACCGGCTTTATCTAAGACTATGAACTCAGCCTTCACTGTAGAGCAGATAATACAAGTTTGTTTGGATGACTTCCAATATACCGCTCCTCCACCAATAATAAATACATATCCACTCGTGAACTTAAAATCAGTTAAAACGGTGATCCAATTTATATCACAATATCCCTCAA